AATATGAATAAAAAATAAATGAATAAAATAATGAAATGAATAAAACATACGAGTATCCGAAAACAAATCTGAGCCGCTATAAATATTATGAAAGGAATTTTCCTCAATTACAAAGCGAATACGATATACTAATATAATTTTATGCATGCATATATAAATATAAAGGAGAGGTAAACGTAGAGAGCAAGTAAAAAAGAAAAAGAAAAATATCCTTCCCTTTGATTACTACTTTATTACTAAATCCGATTTGTTTTAAATTAAATATAATAGTATTATTTCACCTTAATAATTCTGCAAAAACCAGATAAAATTAATGCTTTTGAAATTAAATTTTTCTCGTAAGAGATTTGCATTTCCTATGCTCTTCTTAAGTGATTATCTCTTTATATTAAGCATATGTACTTCCATTTTATTAAATCTTTTATCCATTTTATTTTGTTGGATTTTCAACTTTTGTTTTCGCATTTTCCTTAACCGATTTGAATTTAAGTTTTCATGACAAATAACATTTGCTACCACAAAAATATTAATTCCTTATGAAAGAATTTTAGCACATCTGGGTAATGATTATTTTCTCTAATTATCATCTGTATTTATTTGTCACAGTAAAAAAAACGCATAAATTATTAAATGCAATAATGAAAGCAAATCTCCAAGATTATAAATCCTTCCAAGATAGTTAACAACACTCCATTATTTTCAACTGAAAGTGAAGTTCCTAAGGATTTTCTCAGAGCATCCACTACAATTATTAATCTCCTCTGCTCCTTTACGAAAGTAATCTTCATTTATTTACTAACCAATTTTTCACAACGAATGCTTCGCTGGAAGATTACTCAGGCATCACATTCTCTATGTGCATGTGACTATAATCATAATATAGTGAAGAAGTATTTAAAATCAAAAAAAAAAAAAAAAAAAAAAAAAAAAAAAAAAAAAAAAATAAAAAAAAACCAAAAAAAAAAAAAAAAAAAAAAAAAACAAAAAAAAAAAAAAAAAAAAAAAGAAAAAAAAAAAAAAAAAAAAAAAAAAAATAAAAAAAAAAAAAAAAAAAAAAAAAAAAAAAAAAAAAAAAAAAAAAAAAAAAAAAAGCAAGATAGCAAACGCTTAATGTGATCCAAAATTTATGTCCTTTGGCTGATGACGCAGAGATCCGGTTTTCAAACTTCTAACTGTGTATTTGGAATATATAATGAACTCCATAAAACAGGTGTGAGTTAGCAGATACATTACTCGTTTTTTTAAAAAGAATTTTAAAACATTACTCGTTTTTCCATAAAAATAGGTCATTGATAGAAAAGTCACGTAAACGAAGCTTGTGTTGTTGTGACTTATCTCACTTGTCTGACAATAACATCAGAACAAGCCACGAAATTCATCGTGGCAAGGAAAGCAAGATTGCGCCTGTCGCTGGCTGGAGCCTTGAGCACCATACAGGTGACAGAGCGACTTCGCTCATTTCCGCCACAATTTTGATGGACAGCACTCCGAGAGGAGGACGGGTCCGAGAGTCTCCCACTCTCTCTTCTCCTACCATCAATTACTCTAGGAAACTTTCAGCTCGCCAAGTATTTAGAGTGCCTCCATGCCGCAAAGACACTATACATTTAAAAACATCCATGCCTTCTATGGCATGATGAAAATAAAATATTTTGGGGTATATTTTCCCCAAGATATTTTATTTTAGGTTTTTTTTTTTTTTACAACCTTATAAAAAATTATTGCTATTACATTTAGTTGTGGACCTCTCTATTTGATTGCAATAGACCGCATCAAAAGTATATAAACACACACACGCGTATATATATATATATATATTAGCTTTGTTACTCGACACGGTGAGCTCAGTTTTTTTAATTCTTATAGGTTGGTAAATTGTGAATTGTGCATTATTTGCTGCAAAAGTGATTGAATTTTGTTCTTATGTTTTCGCTTAAGGGTTTTACGTCTTTAGGTAGTTTGCATGCAGTAGTTTTAGAATTTTCAACAATTTAAAAGTTGTTTAAATGGGATTAAGTTTAACGGAAAAGACATTTGCTTACATTTGAAACGTAGTAGAATAATGAATTAAGTCAGTTTCTGCACCTTTAATGTCTTTTTGCCGAGTGGCACCAAAAGTAAACTTTCAGTTTTGTGTAAATGTCTGCCTTCTTGCCCGCTGGCCGAGTTGCCTTTTTTTTGAGTAGAAACTGTAATTTTAATCGTAAAAATTGTTTTAACTATCTTAACTGTATTTGGTGTTTTATGGTTTTCTATACTTTTCAATTTTTTTACGAAGATGTTTTAAAATGTTATATATTTTTGCCTTGCCGCGAAGTGAGAACTGAATTAATTGAATTAGAAATATTTCTGAATATTTGTGAAATGCAGCAAAAATTATGTATAATTTAACAGGCCGTACAAGAAAGTCATGCTGTGTCCACATCAGATTTTTTCTTCCTTAAGCCTCTTTAAGAAAATTAAAATCAAATTTAGGAAATGCATTATCAGATTTTAAAACTCGTTATCCTCAAGATAAAAATGCCTTGGTCATTTTAATTACTATTATTATAGAAGTAAATTCATGAAACAGATGTCCGTAAACTTGTTTCCGCTTGGTATAAATTGGTAAGATACATAATAACAATTAGTAGCGCAAACTGCGCCTGATGCTCAAGGTCATTTAGCAAACTGTGCTATTTTTAAATCAATCTATTTCCTCAAGATATTTTATTTTAAGTTTTCTTACAATCTTATACAAAAATTATTTTGGTTTTCAAAGTATACTAGCGTAGTCCTAACCTCAGTTTCGCAGTTTTGAAACACTTTTTAAAACTACGATAACATTGAAATATCAATTCCGTTTGCTGAGACTTGAAACCCCATCGAACTACCAGCATTTGACGGTCTTATCCGCTCATCCTTGGTGGGTATATATAGAAATCTGGAAGGTGTAACGGAAATTAAAACAATTATTTGAAGGTAAGGGCCTTATTTGTCTTAAGGATCTTATCAAAAGCTGTTCACCAAAGAAGGAAAAAAATAATAAAAGAGAAATTAAATAAAAGATGCCGAAAAGCACGGCAATACTAAGTTTAACTGCGCAAACCAATAGCCTAGCGAACTTTTAATCACGCATAATACAATCTACATATTATTGAATGATGTTCATTGAATTCAGCTAAGGAAATCAAATGTCAGTTTGAGGAAAGGAATAAAGAATTTTTTTTTTTTTTTTTTTTTTTTTTTTTTTTGTGTGTGTGTGTGTGTGTGCCTGTGTGTATAGAATAATAACTCTACTTTATACAATTTTCGAACTCATTCCGAGAAATTGTTATCCTAAATTCACACAATAAAAGCAGTATGAAAATTTTTCGTTCTTATTCAGTGCATATACTTGAATTGGTAGAGATTAAACAAGCAGTAACTTTATTCATGAATCGGATAGTTTAGTCACAAGTTCTCTTAGCAGCAAAGCACATCTTACAGAGAAATAAGTTGAAATTCTTGTTATAGTAACTGGAAGAGTTGCTAGAAGACAAGACCGTGAAACTGGCATAAACGAGGGAATGCCTGTCCTTTTGGGGAGAAAAAAGCAAAAATAAGAGCGTTTAATTTAAACATCTGCCTTAAGGGGGAAGTTAATTCGAATATGTGTCAATGCTCACGGTCCACCACAAGGCACCCATTTGGAATAAACGGATTCTTTTAAAAGAGGGCAAGGAAAGATCAGACGCTTTATTGTTGTTTGCTTTTGAGAAACAGTTCCGAAAGATAAGGACAATTTTAGGACTTCTAGGATCATTTTCTTTAGTTCGCATTTCTACAACCGCACCGAGAGTTTGTTGCGGGTGTAAAGTTTTGTTTTGATCTTTACTAGCCAGATGAGGTTAATTTTTTTTAATCCAATATCCCTTTTCTTGTATTAAAACCGCTCATTAAAAAATGCAAATGTTATATAAAATATTCAGTATTTTAATTAAAATTGCACTCAATATTCCTTAAGTAACAATCCTAGACATATATTTACAATTATAATAATTTCGTAAAATAAATAATTAATTTTTTAAACAAGGTGGAAAATTTTATGGAAATACTTTCTACATAGTGGTTGAAGGTTCTGTAAAATCAAAATCTAATATTGTTGTACTTGAAACAAATTCAAGTTGTTAAAATATTAATTGCGTATTATCTCTATTATTACATAATGAAGAATATGTATGTATTGTATATGTATATGTATGTACTTATGTACCTATCTTTCTTGTCCGTTAAAGAAGTGCCAAATTAAAAACCACCAAATTGGAAACATGAATGGTCCTTCTCCCAGCATGTGCCACTGGAAGTTCGAGTTTTGAATTTCCAATTTGCCCATTGGACTTTTATGCATTTGAGCTTTAGAAATGATACTGGTTTAACGTTCCGCTTTATTTTTGGGATCTGGTTTGAGCTTATTTCTGTTAATTGCTGAAAATGTGCCAAAAGTTGCCAATTCTGTCATCATTAAATCTGTCAAAGAATGACTAGGAACTTGATGAAGCTATTTAACGTCTATAAATCAGAAGCCCATTTCTTCCAAAAACAAATGCAAGTATTTAAACTACTATGAAATTAATGCAATTTCTGATATCCGAAAGCATATGCAAATTTCTAAAAAATACAATCTCAAAACCAGATTATTTTATTTATTTATTTTTGAAAAAGAATGTATTTTAATTTTTTTGTATATTATCTACGCAAGGTGTGGATGTGACAGAAATGGCATTCACAGAAAGATATTTTCTTGAAGATTTTAAGTAATAAAATGTATAACTACAGATCTGTATAATTTACGCAGATCATTTCTGTCTGATGTAGAAATTCTAACTTTTCTCTCGAGAAAATAGCGATAGAAAATTGTGAGAAGTTTAAAACAAAATTTTCATTTATGAACTAATATAAAAACCTATAATCGAACACATAGTTGCTGATGTTTCTGAACACATAGTTGAAAAAGGTATGCAAAAAGTATTATCACTCACCTTCTTTTCCATAAGCGTGGACAAACTGATGTTATAGACGATGTTTCTGCAAAAGTAATGAGAAACAAAAATTAATTAAAAATGTTAAAAGAAGAGCATATGTAAACAATGTCTGCATTATTAAATACTAGGCAAAATTCAGAAGTTTGGTATATATTTTAAATATATATATAAAAATCATACTAATGTCAATACATTGTTAAATTTAAATAAATGTCAAATGAAATGAAAAAGTTAACTTCCCCCCCCCCGGGAAGACAGAAGAGCACTTCTAGCAGACACAAATTAAATAAAACCTTGCACATTTCGCACGACATTTTAGCTTATGAACTCCACGAAACCATTTCTGTGACTTCATTTCGCATCTGAATATTTAATGGTGCGTAAACTTTTATTACTCTTCTGTTTATTTAATAATTTATTGATTTTTTAACTATCCAAGTGTTCGTTATTGTTCAGATCGCTATTACTCAGATATTTGTGTCTATGTATTTCTGTATTTCTGAAGAAAAGCAATTTTCTTTTCTCAAGCATTCTTCACAATATTCTGTAGTGATATAAACCTGCACAATATCTGTAGTGATATATGCTGCTTCGCTGCCTTCTATGCTGCGGTCTTACTATGTGAGCAGTTCACCGCTGCTTATTCCACACACTACTTATTCATGTATACTACACATATTTCTTTTTATTCATGTGCTAACATACACTCCTTAAGATTTTGTTGCCTTCAGGCATTTAATTTCACGCGCATATAATGTAGCAATATGAAATCTCTAGGGAAATGTTAATATAATTATACTGTACACCTGCATTGAATATGTTAAACACATTTTTAAAAATGAAAGGTAAAGCAAATTCTGCACTTTGATTGGAAATCGAATTTACTACTCCAGTTTATCATGAGACTCACTCTTCATTAAAACAGGCACTTCAAGGCCGTTGTCATCGCCTCCATTTGCATATCATATCGCGTGTCATCATCACTACACAGCACTTATTTTCTCCACTTGTTTCGAAACTTTACTTAAAGATAGCCTTCATTTATGCACTTCTCATGAAGTTAGCCACACTAAAACGAAACGAAGTGGAGGGGAAAAAATTAGGTGATTTGAACCGCAGCTGTTGTTCCAATTCTTACGAAGTAAATCAGGCGGCAGAAAATGATCTTAAAGATTTTTCCGTTGTTGATCGTGTGCCGGTAGCAGTTTTACGCTGTATCGACCTTACGTAGTAATTTATACGCACTATCGACGCTTTTACTGCTCTATCAATCGTAAACTATCGCAAACGATTGCAGCACTATCGATGCTGCAATACTTGCTCTTGGGACTATTACACGTGCATGTTCATCAATTTCTATATGTTCTCACTTCTTCTGTGGTAAAGTAGTAATTTCTACGTACCATCGACGCTTTTACTGCTCTATCAATCGTAAACTATCGCAAACGATTGCAGCACTATCGATGCTGCAATACTTGCTCTTGGGACTATTACACGTGCATGTTCATCAATTTCTATATGTTCTCACTTCTTCTGTGGTAAAGTAGTAATTTCTACGTACCATCGACGCTTTTACTGCTCTATCAATCGTAAACTATCGCAAACGATTGCAGCACTATCGATGCTGCAATACTTGCTCTTGGGACTATTACACGTGCATGTTCATCAATTTCTATATGTTCTCACTTCTTCTGTGGTAAAGAAAAACTACTGCCTTCCCAAAACGCTTTGCATGGTATATTTCGTTTTTTTTATTTACAGATTCATGATTTAATTGATTTACACTAGCATCATAAAAAGTTTCGATACTAAATTAATACTAAAGGACGAACTTAAAAGCTATGGTACTTTCCAGATTTGCAAGCTATAGCTTTTATTTTATTTTTACATGATAAATAATTAAATCTTTTTAATATTTTTAATGCTATTAAAATAAGAAAGGAAATTATAGGGCAGAGGAGGTGCATAAACTGAGATCCCGTTAGATGTTGCTGAAGTTCCAAAAACGTCAGGTTTAAAAAAAATAATGATTTAACTCTGCAGAGAAAAATGAAGTTTTATTTCGGCTTAAGCTATGTACTTTATAAAAAGCATATTTGCCTTATTAGTGAGTAAAAATAGCGAAAAGTAAAAAATAATTTCAAGAAAAAGATAAGCTTGCCTTTCATCTTTTCCTTTCATTACCTTCCTAATTTTTTTCCAAAGTATAGTTATAAATCTTACTTAATGAATGATCACATATTCTGTATCTAATTAGAATATCTTACGCTATATAACTATGGTAAGACTCGTAAGCTTTTTAAATAAGCTAAATAAATAATTAAACTTCATAAAGAAAACTATAAAGTTAAAACATTAAAGATAATTTTCCGTACTTAACTGCTTGTTTGCTAGCCAGGTGATACAGGAGTAACACACACAAAAAAAAAAAAAAAAAAAAAAAAAAATTCTTAGTAATTACATTAAAAAAACTAAACTAAAAAAAGGTATATTATATTTTTAATCTACTAGTTTTAACTTTAATAACTTAGTTTCATAACTTTTACCGAAAGCTCTTTTTATTATTATTTTTATATTCACTATTAATTAATGTACGTGTACCAAGAGATAGTGCAAAGATTTTGTATGTTACAACTCCACCCCACTCTAAAAAATCACTGCGTACTTTATTTTGCAAAATATCTATATGAAATACTTTATAATATACAACACATAATATACAGTAATTACAGTGTTAATCATAATATACAGGATGTTTCGAAAAGTTACAAAACTACATAATATCTGAATCTGGTCAAAATGCTACGACTTGAGCTCAGAAACAGAATCAAATGATTTCGGTTTGGTCTCCTAGTATATTTTTAATAAGACTTAACATAAATCAAAAATGTTATTCAGCGCCCCATAGGACATAAATATTTTTCATTTCAAAATTAATCCAACTAAGAATGTCTTTACACAATCAAAATTACATGGAATATCTTTCATTAAAATCTCGTCGTAACCTGAATAAATACTGCTAAAGAAGCATTTACCAATTAATTTACAAATTCAGAATTCTGAAAATTACTTTGTGCAGACTATTGGATTTTTTAGACTCTATCCGAAATCTGAACTGCGTATGTTAACTGGGCGTTCTAACCGCTAACAAGGCACGCATGTGGGAAAGCGGTAATTCCTTACAATCTCCCCCATTTCCAAGATGACGAGACAGATGCACGAGGTCCAACCAACCAAACCAAAAGACTGATTTGTTATTAGCCAATATATTTTCAGTTCAAGCACCATTTCAATGATTATTAGTCTCCTCTTTTTTTTAAGGCAGGGAACATGAAGCTAATGAGCCCTTGCCAGGATTCGAACTAAGATATCCCATTTGCTAAATGAATTGCTAATCACTTTACACTACGTTAGTGTCGACGAGAGAATGAGATTATCCCTTACAAATTTTATGCCAGACAAATATAGAAATTATTTAATAAGGATTTCAAATCTTTATTCACAGAAATATTAAAATTCAAATCAATTTATTTAATATATTTCCACATTATACGTCTAAAATCAATAACATTTTGTCACTGTTTGCTTTCATTAACTGAAATCAGTCACTGAAATTTGGCACATTTTCTAGGTCAATATTTGTATACTATTGAACGTTTTTTACAAGATTTTTTAGCAGGATATTAAAAAAGCTTATTAGTAAGAATTACCTCTGTGGGACGCATAGATGTTCAAAATTTTCAGCTTTAACCAAACGTGAACCTTTTTTCACGTGAAAAAAAATTTTCATATTATACAAACTTAAATTACTTAATTTTTACTAGTAGTAGTGTTAGTATTACTATATTTGAAAACATGGGTTGACAATGAACGCTCAAGATACAATCCCTTTAGTTGTATATTAAAAAATAACTAATGGATCGAGCGACGCATTTTCAACAAATCAGCATTTTCTCTTTATTTTTCCGAAGTAGTGTAGTCGTTAAGCTACGCCATATTACGGAAATTCAAAATTTATTTTCAGATCCTATTTGTAAGAGTAGCTTTAATATTTTCCTTCCCGAAGCAAATTTTGTTTTTTCTTGCTTTCGAATATCCCAACCACTTGCAAAGGATCTTAGTAACCCGTAATGAAGATTTTAAATGATTTCCGAATTTTTCCTCTTTTCCTTTCACTCGTTTGCCTAAGGTCGTTACAAGTGCATCCGAATTCAACGAAACCCAATTTGAGGGCCATCGAAACTAGCGAAGTTTATACACTGCCCTTTCTAATGACCAGCATTCGTCATATCCAAATGCATTTCCGAGAGCAGTCATTTTCAACTGATAAAGAGGGACTGGCAAATTATTCTCTACCAACCCCCGGATCCCATCCCGACTCTCCACTGATCGAACTTCAACTTTCATACAGGCTTCGCGTTTCAACCGCTAGATGTCGCCGCGCAGGCGCTAAACCACGAGGTAGACGTAAAACGCACGCTCTTGATATCTGCAGGCAGATAGACAGAGCTTTGAATTAGGTGGCATCGTCTCGACCCGTGTAATCGAGTGAGTTTATGCCGATCACCCCCAATTCTCACCCCCGTTGGAAAGTACGCTTATCAGCGCAACGCAACAATGCGCGGGGAACATTAAGTTGTTTGAGCAGTGCGCGCAATCAATAACGATGTCGTTAATACCGGGGTTGCCGTTGGAAAAGCCGAACAGATTACATACGAACTCACTTAGCATGCAATCTTTGCTGTTCAATCATGTGGCCCAAACAGCCTAATACACCTCTCGCGAACAAACCATTACCTGCAAATATTTGTCAACGCATCACCAAATGCTCACCTTAAAATGGAGATTAAAATCGTCTGATACCGTAACAAATTACTCGCAGCTGTATGGAGAGAGAGAGGGGGGGATGTCTGAAGAGATATATAAACAGGTTTTAAAAGGGTTATCGAATTCCATGATGCAATATCTCGATTAACATAAACTTTTCCAGTCTCATCTGTAAAATGAGGATTTAAAAAAGAACCTTAGAAAAGTGTCCTTGAA